CTGCTCTGCTGTAGTGATGTCGTCATGCCGCCTCGTGACTGTCATTCCAAATCAGTCGGAGATTAGTGACGCCCTCTTGTAGATGCTGCGCTAAGAAAAAAAGGCAGCGTGAGTGGGTATTACCATTGGTTGTGGAAGGGGTGGGGTGCTATTATTCACTTCCTGCAAACCCCTCTTTCTTAAACATGGCCCAGCCTACAGGGGTCCAAATAGGTTCCTGTTTGTTTTTTTAGAGAGCTAAACACACCTCACCTCAGTAAATGAATCTGAGGCCATAGAACTACACGAAAATGCAGGTTTCTGTTCTTAAAAGGCACAGTGAGTGCAGTGTGAGCATAATTGCAATGGGCCCAAAGGCCTTAAAGACAACACAAACTGTTATTATTATTATTATTATTATTATTGTTATTATTATCATAAGTGCCATCAAGTAGTTTCTGACTCCTGGTCACAATATCCTGTTTTCTGTTTGGAGCTAGCTAGCTTATTGGATGTACATTTTCTTGTATGGTCAGCATATGTGGTAAATTTGAAACAGCTACAGTAGTTCTTGACATTGTGTGAAAATCTACTGCAGAATGGATAAAAAACACCACTCCAAATTTCTCTTCACATTAATTTACATTAAAGTCAATAATGTTTTTGCCTTCTAGCTTGAAGTCACATTTTTCACATTCACATTCAAAACAAATTGTAATATACAGTGTTTATATATACATATATATATATATTGCCGGGCCAAATCAAACGTCCTTTTGGGGCGTCTTTGGCCTGTGCGCTTCACTTTGGCCAACCTGTTTTAGTGTCTTTCCAAAGGCCACATTAAAGGCGTACTCCAGCATTTTTCAACCTAATCTCAATGTGCATTTTCTCTGCTTAGAGCAGAAAACCTCTTGACTTAAAACTCACCTATAACAGAAGACATTGGTCATTGCTAAGTTTTAAATACATGACTGTATAGCGCAAATGAGATGGATGAGACATGAGAGAACTAAAACTGTTCATGTGAAGTTTTATCCAACTTTTGAACACTAAAGCAACGCAGTGGAAAAAGTAGTTCTGGCCGCTTTCCAGCTGTGCGCGATCAGACAGGAAAGCTTGTAAAAAGACTCTACCCACACAACTACACTGGTAACAAATTACCACAAATTCCTCTCTGCTGAAAATTAGTCCCATCTCTGAAAGAATGAATTGTAATCATGTACAGCTTCAGTTACAAATAGCTTTGGCTGACGAATCCTGAAAGTGATTCGCAAAAATATGTTTCACATAAACATTTACTGGTGGAATACAGCAACTACTCAATAACTTCAATAAAAGCATTGTCTGTGGTAACTGACTGTATGCTACAGTTACGGCAAACAGACACCAGAGTAAAAAAACGCTGGAGCATTCCTTCATTATTTTGTATCTTTACTTGGTAGGATGTGCAGTGAACGCAGGATATCGATCTTGCAGTTTACCACTATGGCATCAGTACTTATAAAAGAAAGTCAGTCAGTTATATTTTGTATTATTTCTATGCATGCTTTGCTCTTGCCAGCTGATCTAGGAACAGTTCCTTCAGCCAGCTCCTAAACTCAGTCGTCATAAGTGCCGCGAGCAGCGCGAAAGGGTAATTTCTGCAAACATCGTTCTATCATGTCTCTATATTGATCCGTCTGTATTTATAGAGAGCAAGATTTATTGGGAACTTGTGTATCGTGTGCCTACCCGCAAGTGGAAAGAGGAGAAGGGGGGAGAGAGGGAGAGGGAGTGAGGGACAGATGGAGGGGTGTGGGGGCAACATTCTGGGTACGAAAGATATACTCTCTCTCTCTTTTTCTCTCTCTCTCTCTCTCTCTCTCACTCTCTCTCTTTCTGGTGAGATTATTGTTCCCATGGCAACGCGGCAGATTGCTAGGAAATCACTGTGGTTGTGGGCACCATGGTAACACATTTCATATGCCGGTCTCTCTCTCTCTCTCTCTCTTTCTCTCTCTCCCCCCTTCTCATTCTCTCTCGCTCTGTCTCTCAAATCACGATACATGCGTATCAATCATAACACGCACACGCAGTGCAGTCAGCGCTCACTTGCAGCTTGCCAGGGTCTTTACAGGGTCTTTCTCTATGCTACTATTTCTTCTGTGTTTTTTTCCACACACAGGGCAGTGCCTTGGTAACCATAGATGCTGTCAACCAGCTTGTTGCCCTGTTACCCAATATAGCATGTGTGGTGCAGCATGCTAAGGTTAATGTACAGCTCCATGTATTATAGCTGTAGAGCTTAATTGCTTCTTGTTCTGTTATTTGAATGGTTGGGCTGTATTACTGCGACCTGCTGTAAATGTGTGAGATGTCTTAAACCTTTACAGCAGGGTATACTTCACATGTACATATACATTACCTCGTATAAATGTATTCATCTCTCTCTCTCTCTCTCTCTCTCTCTCTTTCTCTCTCTCTCGCTCGCTCTCTCTCTCACCCCTCATTTAGAGTAGATAGTTATTTCTTGCGTGGTGAGTCTTTTTTTGAGGCTGAGCGTTGTCATGGCGATGGCAGCCTACAGCTCGAGAGCGGGTCGGGAGGGGGGCTGCGAGGAGAGAGGGAAGAGAGAAGTTTTCACTGGCACTGACACAAACTTGTTGACACACATACACCGCGATACTAACACCCTGATGCAAATCTGTGTGTCTGAGCGCTGCAGGGCACAAATACACCAGCACACACACACATACACATGCGTACACCTGGCGACGGACTGATTCACAGCCCCTGTCTAAAGTGGGTCAGCGGCTGTTTGTCACAAACTATAGAGCGCACAGAGAAAATTATGCCTCACCAATTCTAACGTTAATGTGACAGTGTCTATTTCTAGGTGATGCGCATGATCGTTTAACTGTGGAAATAAGGCATGTAATCAGCAGCACCTTTTTATAGAAACTGGAGGGAAAAAAACTATTTCAAGCTATTATGATTTGGCATCACCTTTGTCACCAGTCTGAGCTCATGTAGTACATAATCATTTAAGACCTTTTCCCTGCCTAAATGACCTCTTTTACAAATTGACCTGTCCATGCTCAACCCAGAAACTCATTCATTCATAGAAACTGTTATGAGATTGGACAAGCTTTACAAAACATTGGCAAAAATCTTGCTCAAATGAATGACTTTAGATTGGAGTTTAGCTTCATTATGTAATGTTAGTTTAGGAAATCATAATTGGCAGATTGGAAACAATAAAAGCAAATTTGCCTGCATGCTAACGTTAACATGATGACGCAGCTAATAAAAATAATTTAAAATGAACAAAGCACTCTAAATGTAGATATTTTGACATAACTGACTTGTTTCCTGTGATTTCTCTTAAGGCTGGATGGGATTTTTGCTATTTATGCTGAGTGGAGCATGAATAGGTCAGTTTCTAGGCTCTCTGGTGATGCAGATGACCAGCAGCTTTCAGTGCAGAAATAGCACATGTAATCAACAGAACCTTTTTATGGAAAGCATAAAAACTCTATTCCATTATTTTTGGCAGTCACCTTTGTCACCAGGTTAACCTCTTGCTGTAAATGATCATTATAGACCTTTTTCTTTTTAACATGACACCTGTTACCAATCTCTAGTCTGATGTGCACATCATCTCTATCTCAAGTAAATCAGTTCATTTCTTTTTCAATATGAAAATAGATGAACATGCTGTTTGTTTCAGTGTGAAAATAGGACCTCTAATCAAACTATTCCAACATATCATTATTGACTGTCACCTTTCTCACCAGGCTAAGTGTTTGTTGTTCATGATCATTATAGACCTTTTCGCTGTTTGCATGACATCTGTACTGTTTACTCCGATAGGGGGTATTTTTTTCAGGAACTCTAGACCTTCCCACTGGCTTTTCCACTTGAGTGGAGCTAAAGGTTATGATAATGATCTTGTGACCAGGAGGCCACCAGATCAGCGCTCTCTCGTGTTTATCCACTCTGTCACAGCTTCCAGCACTGAACTGGACATTTTGCTTTTGCAGAGACCTATGCACTGATCTGTGAGCACATTACAGGCACGCTTGTAGACTTAGAGCGATATATCATAGCTTAAATACATTATAGCTTAAAAGTGTTAGTCCTTTAAGCTCTACTGTCTTCCATATTAGTTTCTCTACTGACTGTCTTCCATATTAGTTTCATAGTACTGAATAATTTATAGTAGTTACTCAATAATTCCAATTATACTTTGGTTAGTTCCAACCACATGATGTGATTGACTGACAAGCATTCTGTGACTATTAATATTTCCTGGTATTGGCACTCTAATGGCATAAAATTCAAACAAGTATCACTCCACATTATTCCCCTGTAAACTAGCGATGGTCGCCAGCATGTAGACCGTTTAATGGAACTAATTAAATGTTATTCATAAAATTCTATTTTTGTTTTTTTTTGAGGTAAGAAAAATATCAATAGTGAAACTGTGGTTTAATCACAATAATATACGAAAGGTTTTGCTAGATATGTGAGACTGCCATCCTGACATTTAATCTTCTATTTTAACGTGATTTCTCAGTGCTATCATTTTACTGCATTTTTTTGATGTTTAAAGTTTTTGATGTTGATAAGGTTAAAGATATTCTAGGTGACTACAGTTCGGTTCTGAATGGTAACAGTTGGTTAAGGATTCCAGATAGTTACAACTGGTTAATTATTATAGATGGATACAACTGGTTAAGGATTGTAGGTGGTTATAACTGGTTATAAATTCTATATTGTTACAGCTGGTTAATTATTCTAGATGATTACAAATTGTAAAGATGGATACACCTGGTAACAAGTATTCTAGATTAGATGGTTGAAACTCATTTGGGATTTTTGGATGGTTATTTTAACTGGTTAAGGATACCAGACGATTACGACTGGATAAAGATTCTGGATTAAATAGTTACAACTGGTGTAGGATTCTTGATGGTTGCAGTTGATTAAGGATTCTAGATGGTTACAACTGACTCTTATGTTCTTTACGTCCTCAGATACCTCATGAACGTAACCTTCGAGGGGCGCAATCTCTCTTTTAGCGAAGACGGCTACCAGATGCACCCCAAGCTGGTTATTATTTTGCTGGATAAGGAAAGGCAGTGGGACAGGGTGAGTATATCTCTATTCCTTGCTTTCTCTCTGGCATTCTTTCTCACTTTCTCTCTCACGTTGTCTCTCAAAACATCGCACCTCCCTGACGTCATAATCAGCGCTGTCCCGTCTGTGTGTCTTTGTACTTCGTAAATTCCCACTATTCAGACATACTCATATTGAGGGTGCATTAATCCGACACTGACCTTTTAGACACACTTTTATCTCCCTGTTCCCCACTTGCCTTTTCTCTCTCTTTCTCTCTCTCTCTAACCACTCTCCTTCTTCCCTGCTCCCTCCCTCCTGCTTTCCTTCCCAGGTGGGAAAGTGGGAGAACGGCTCGTTGTCTATGAAGTACCATGTGTGGCCACGCTTTGAGCTCTACTCGGATGCTGAGGAGAGGGAGGACGACCACCTGTCTATAGTGACTCTGGAGGAGGCCCCGTTCGTCATTGTGGAGGACGTGGACCCCCTCAGCGGCACCTGCATGAGGAACACGGTGCCCTGCAGGAAACAGCTCAAAGCCCAGTGAGAGGCCCATTGACCTACTTCACTATCAAACAGAGCCTTTTGATTTGTTATTGGGGAGGGGGGACTCAAATTAAATGGAAAAGCTGTCCTGTTCTCTCTTTAGTCTTAGGTAACAGGCAACGTACTGTATAGATTACTAATTCTTATTAACATTGTTTTGCTTTTTCGGTCAATTAAGTGAGTTTCCAAACTAATGTAAGGTACTTTATAGATTACAAAAGTAACTGAATAGTTCATGTCTAGACTGCATGTATGTCAGTTACAGAAGCAGACAAATTGTTACTGTGTGAAGAAGGGTGGCAAAAAGACATTTTCAGAATTGCAATTCTTATCATGATATTTATTTATTTATTTATTTTAAATATTGTTGGAGGCTAGCCAGTAGGTTATAAAACAGATACAGTTTACTAAAAAAAGCAAAGGAAAAAAGAAAAATGAAATGGATGTTAGCCAATTATGAAATGCAAATCATTTCATAATTGGCTAACATCCAGTCAGCTGTTTGTTACTATACAGTTTGTTAACTGGTTAACTGGCTGTCTAATATTTGTCTAAATCTCTTGTTTAGGAAAAATGCAGTTAGTCAGAACTACTGAAAAAATACTTAATGCACTCAGAGAAGTATATTGTTATTGTAATTTTTTAGGACAACAATTGCATACCACTGTGTCACCCACTGCTAGTGTCAAGAGGAAATGTGTCAAAACTCATGAGAGCTTGTGTCACACAAGAATAAAATCTCAGGAAGGAATATAAGTGGCTTCTAGCTGAATCTCACTGAGCACAAATTCAGGTGCTCAGAGTTGTAGATGAAAGTAATGTGATAAAATGGTTTAGTTATTTTGTGTTTCTTGATTAACTGAGGACTTTGATAGCACTAACATATCATGCCATGGCTAATGTACATGGATTATTCCACTGAATTGGTTCAAAGTCAGATTTGAAAACACATTTTGGACTTTTAACTAACTTGGACTTTAGATTAAATCCTTTCACTTTGAGTGACCCAATGCCTTATTTATGTTTTTTATGTATATTAAAATAAATGATAGAACATTCCATTTTATCACTGCCAAAACATTTGAAATACTGAACTTTAACTGATTGTAGTGGCAATTTTAGCTAATTTTGAGTAAAACTCAAAAACGCTAGGCAGTACAAAACTAGCAAACACAGATTTGAACAATTCGTACCATATTATTTACAAGAAATCATAATACTTTTCATTAAAACACAGAAAAGTGTACTTACCTGCAGAAAATATGTGTTTTGGTAGTGACATTTTTTAAAGGGGAACTTCACTGATTTTTCAAAATTTCTTTATAATTTAATGGTTAACATGTCAACAAAGTCATTCAGAGAGGTTTGGTGTGAAGTGCTTCCTTCAAGAGAAACTTACAGAGTCAGAATTGTTTGCAGTGGTGATGATAGGAACCAGACGTCTGGAGTGGTTAATACCAGGTCTCCCTCACAGAAAATTATTACATGAAATTGTTATGAATGCTCAGCCTAATGTCTGAGACATTGTTTTACAATAGTTTTGTTTTACAATAGTTTTGTTTATCGATCATACTTTGATCAATTTATTTTAATCCATTCATGGTGGAGGGATACATGAAGATTGTTCAAAGGCAAAATAACCCCCAAGGAAAGCTTATTTTTTTCAGATTGACCATTATTTTACCATAAGCATTTCATATAAAAGCACTTGTAGTTTCACTGGTAGTACTGATAGTAAATAAAGTGGCTATATATGTCTTGTAGACATCGGGATCCCTGTTTCCACTGTACAGAAATCTGAGTCAGTAAGTTTCTCTACAATGAACCATTTAACATCAAACCGCTGTCAATGACTTTATGTATACACTATATGGCCAAGAGTATGTGGACACCCCTCCTAATTATGGAATTCAGGTGTTTCAGCCATACCCATTGCTAATAGGTGTATAAAATCCAGCACATAGCAATGCAATCTCCACAGATAGACAGAGGCAGTAGAATGAGTCATGCTGTTAAATCTTCTCGGCTACTTTTGGGATGAATTGGAACATCGGACCTTTTCGTCCAGCATCAGTGCCTGACCTCACAAATGCTTTTTTTGACTGCATGGACACAAATTCCCACAGACACACCCCAAAATCTTGCAGAAAGCTTCCCAGAAAAAGAGAAGGCAACTCTGTATTAATACCTGTGGTTTTGAAATGGGATGTCCAACAAGCTCATATAGGTGTCAGCTGTCTACATATTTTTGGCCATATAATGTATCTCAACTCTCAACTATTGAATTATGTAGAAATTCTGAAACATTTTTGGAATTCCCCTTAAACACTGATTTTCAGATTTTGGAAATATTTACTTCAAAACAATGAAATCTAACTGCTCACCATGTGGCCATGGGGGACAGGGATGCAGTCTCACTTCCTGCTCTAGAGTGCAGGAGTGTGGTTAAAATAAGGCTCCACCTAAAGACTAAAACATTTTTTTTCAAAAACTTTGTGTTTTAGTAGTAACATGAAAATGCAGAACAGCATTTCTAGATAAATATATATTTTTTATTTAAACGTTAAACTCATGAGAAGTCAAAATCCTTTGACTTCAAAGAAAATGGAAAAAAACAATTGTAAGTATTATTTTCACATGTTGAAATGTAGGGGTTAGGATTTGGGGCAGCCACCTCTCAATAGAAAGAATGCTATAAATGATTCTTTTGTATATATTTTGCTTAATAATTAATCTACATTAATGTTTTGGGTTTAGATAGATTGTAACATAATCCTTGTAAGTATCTAAGGTCTGGACACTTAATTGTGTTTTAGATTTTTTTTTGCTGTTGAACCATAGTTTGAACTATATTCCTTTCCAGTCTTTCAATTGCTATCCATATCATGCATAAACATTTAAACCTAAAATTATAGATGACTGTGCAGCATAAAATATGTCATTCTTGCTCATCCAGTAACACCTGGTGAAAAGTAGCTTCAATTTACAAGACATTTCTGCTGTCGTTTGTAGCTTAGATTTCCCTGAGGGTTGCCTTTGATGCTGCAAAGCTCTTTTCTACAAATGAGCAGTAAAAAGCATAGTAAGCTTCCCCAACACTGTTTACTTGTTAGTGTGATTGTATACAAAATATGCTACACAAGATTCAGCCCCTTAAACCTGACTTGATCCTGAATGGAAAGAAAGTGCAGCATTTAATATATGTTGCATTGTTTTTTAAAGAGGTGAGTTTATTAGCAAATCACAATCCTGTTTGTTTTATCTTTCAGTATTATTGCTAAATAGTACTGCTTAAATCTGTTTTAGTTAGGTATTCACTGGCATGACAGATTAAAATATGAGCATTGGTGTTAGGTTGTACGAAGTCATCTCATAGCAGAGTTAAGTTTATCTTATTGTGAGACTGATTAGCTTGAAAAATATCCCCTTGCCACTGACTAAGATGCAATAAATTGAATGGAGTGCTTAGTCTTTTGTCTCTAAAGACAGTGATGTCCATTTTTAGTGCTGAAAACAGTCAATAGCTTTATCAATCTGTCATTTGTTTTAAAAAATGAGATCTGTCGTAAGTGTGAATTTATCTTAAGGGGTATTTATCGACCGTTATTGACTACACTGCTCAATTTATGTTAATGTTTTGTCATCAGTCATTTTGTGATGGCTTGGCCAATTTGTAAGAGTTCATTATCATTCATCTAGATACAGCAAGGTGGTTTCATACTCCAACAGCACATTTATAATCGACACAAAAACATTATTTGCTCTCTGGTTTTATGGACTTGAGGTCATAACAAATTTAGTAATGAACCACAGACCTAAATGGCATCTGCTCATATTTTATAACATACTCTTCCCATTATTGTGCTAGAGACAAACAGGTAACCCCAGTTTGCCCCAGGATAATTGGTAAATGCAAGTCTTTTTGGGGCGTAGCATTAGTTAAATGTCCTAGCAATAATCATTTTGTGAATTGCTGTTATGTGAATCGCTGTTATTTTAAGGATATTTTATTGAATTATTTCTCTCATTTCTCATGGTTAAGAGTTCTAAACAACCTTCATGTCAAGGATGATTACCCCTTACCGTCTGCCTTCCAGCTTACATCTTTCTTCTTTTCTCTCTCAGAAACCAAACAGGCGATTCAGGGATCTACATCAAGCGCTGTTGCAAGGGCTTCTGCATAGACATCCTCAAAAAGATCGCCAAGACCGTGAAGTTTACCTATGACCTCTACCTGGTGACTAACGGCAAGCACGGCAAGAAGGTCAATGGCACGTGGAACGGCATGGTCGGAGAGGTGGGATCGGCTTTCAGATTCAAACCAGAACACCTTTTTAAAGTCTGTCAAGCTAGATCTGCCCAGATTTGATCTGAAATATCAGATCTTATTTTGATCGGCTGTATTAAATCTACTCTAATTCTGATCTTTTTGTTAAAATTTGTGTGAAATTCAATAATTGAACTGTGCGTAAAGATGCACATTTCATTACATTGGTGGCGATAGGAATCAGATGGTGTAATGTCCACAACAGAAATGTAGCCATTTTATTTGCTATCCAAAATGACTAGTTAATCTACATGTGTCTCATGAGTTTTGAGATGTAATGTTAATATTGGTAAAATTCTGGTAAATCTGAGGAAATAAGTATTCTTTGGATACTATGCCCTCAGTGAAGAATTAGGTTACTTTGTGCACAATGTAGCACACTGACTAAAGAAGACAGAAGAAGAATGGTAGCTCAGAGTGTGTTGCATTAAGCACATACTAACATGGAATGATTTAACTGAAGCATTTTGTAACAATTGGCAGCCTATCATGTCATTGCTGTCAGACCCCATATCTCCAAAATGGCAGTTTTAAGAAAGAAAAATCATTCTCGACTTTAAAGTTAATGTAAGATTTTATTCTGCATAATTTTGGACTATTTCTATTCTGTTGGTTTATCATAAAACGTTCACACAGAGTAAAAGACATTTTTTAAAAAATAAATAAAGTTAGAAATGACAATGGAAATACAGAGTTTCATTCTAAAAATGATGAAATCATACCTAAATTTGATTGGATTTACTAATTTTAACATAGTTGAGGTGGGCAGATGTTCATTTATATGGATCATTCTGCTGAATTTGTTCAAAGTGGATTTTTTTGGATTTTAAACCCAATTATCTCCCCAATTTAGTTGTCGCCAATTCCACCCACTAGTTAGGACTCCCCCAATCACACGATACTATCAACGGCTACGGATGGCTGTAGCATCACCAGTCACTACCAAAACAATAAAAACACTACCAAATGTTATAACTACCAAATATTTTGTTAGTTACTGTTTTGGTAGTGACAGTTTTACTTAATGTTGAGCAGAACTCAAAAACACAAGCCAGTGCATGTTCATGACAAGCAAACACAGACTTGAACCTTTGTATGAACATAAAATCAGAATATATTTCATTAAATACAAAAAGTTTACTTAATTGCAGAAAATATGTTTCAGTAGCGGCAGTTATTACACGTTGATTTTCACACTGATTTTCAGATTACACACTGATTTTCCTGTGGCCAGGAGGGACAGGGATGCAGTCTCACTTACTGCTCTAAAATGCAGAGGTGTGACTAAAATAAGGCTCCATCTTTGTAGCAAAACTTGTTTTCAGCAGTAACATGAAAACGTGGGACAACTTCTTTTATTTAAACATGAAACTCATGATTAATCTAAATCTTTTAACTTCAAATTAAAAAGGTCTAAAAAAATACAAAAAAGACAAGTGTTATTTTGGGACAGAGGGTTTGAGATTGCCGCCTCCCAATGGATAGTGCTGATGATTTTGTATATATTTAGCTTTTTACTATCTCAGTTAATGCCTTATAAATAGATCATAACATAATCCTTTTAAATATTTAGGGTCTGAATACTTAAATGTTACTGAGGGACCTCAGTTTTAGCTAATTCGGTAGAATGATGCATATACAAATACACAAATACACATTAGCAAAATACAACTGAAAGTATCATCAGATATTCAGAATTAAAAGACTTTAATCTGATCAAGGGGAAAATAATTTGATAAGTATATCTGTATGAGCAATTTTAGAAACCTAGTCAGTGTGTATTTCCACATGAATTAAACCAGAGGGTTGATTTGTGTTTGTGATTAGAGTCTAAGGGGATCCACCTGTTTTTATATTTATTCTTAAACAACATAATGCTGTAGAATCTACAGTTCTTTCAAATGGTAGTTGCTTACAGGTCCGCATCCATATTAGGATGCATATCAGCTAGAACTATACCCTACATCATGTGCAGGCATATGCCACATTCCCACTAGGAAATCACCAGAATTCACATATACCCACTTAAAAATGCACACAGATGCATGTTTGGCCATTACTCCTGTTGTATGAAATTTTAATCTAGTTCTGAACATCAACATAAATAAAACAGTCCTTCACTGTTCATGAGGCTGGCTGATTATTTGAAAATAAAACCTTAAGGCTAATGTGAGTTGTAGCAGCTTAAAAATACTGAGAGTCTGCCTCTTCAGAATCTTACCGTAGTAAATAGTCTCATAATATTAATTTTTCTGAAATAAAAAGTGTAATGATGTTGTTAAAATGCCTAAATGTGTTATTTACACCTCAGTCTGCCCTACATCTGCCTTTTCAGCTTAAAGCAAGTTATTAGTAAAATTCATGTTAAAGTTACAGTGTTTCAGCCTGGACTACTCTTTAAGTGAGGACAGGCAAAAAGCACAGATATTTGCATTTTATTTCATTTTAATGTAACATTAATAAAAAGCTGGGTTAAAGTAGCTGAATTCACTAATAAGAAGGGCTGTGTGGATCCTTTTGGACATGTAGTATAAGTGCAGTAGAGAATTCAAGCTTTTATTTGTCTCCTTAATTGATTTGTAGTTAGACATGCTTTTATATAAGGTTGATGGAACATGAAGTCAGTGTTTTTCAGCTTGGAAATGTGTCACTTAGTATTTATGAAAGTGTGAGGAAAGGAGTGTTGATGAAAGAGCAAGAGAGAGAGAATGAGTCAGTGACATGAAGAGAGACATGGAGAGAGAGCAAGTGAGATGCAGGGAGGGAGAGAGAGAGAGCGAGAGAGAGAGCGAGAGAGAGAGAGAGAGAGAGAGAGAGGAGGCCTGAGGGTAAGTCCAGCTGGTGTTTCAATTCAGATTTCATAGATTAGAAATAATACCCATTGCAGAAGCATATGCTAATCCACAGTTTAAATGAATGTGGCACGTTTATCTAATTTCTTTTCATTTAGAGTCAGATTAATTATCGTCACATCCGTCACAATGTTTGGGGAGGCTGCTGTTTTTGGCTGACTCGCTCGCTGCTTAATATCTGTGCATGATGGCTCAAGACATCCATAATGTATTATTATTACTGCCCAAAATACACACACACACTAACATACACTTACATTCACATTTTGCATACAAGCAAATACCAACACCATATATAATGCGTTTATTTTTCAGTTGTTATTTTAAGGATTATCCAGTAACTACATAACTACATATCATCGCTGGTCTAGAATTACTCGGAATAAAATCCCATTACATTAACTTACATTACAAGTTAAGAGTATTTGCTAACTTTCCACGAAGCCCATATTCATAATCCATTATAAATGTGCTTATATCTCTTTGCAACTTGTTAACGATGCTTTGTAAACATATTTATAAACTCTAATAATGATCCATATAATGTACTATAATAATGAACTATAATAAATTCTATAATAAATTGTGTTATACCAGTGACACAAGTGTCACTATTCACTATAATGTTGTTTTAAATGGATAATGACCTGTGTATAATTAAACTGCCTATAACATATTTTTAGTAACAATTACAGAAAACATTATAAACATTTACAATGTCATCACTGAGTGATTCAAATAAAATGTTTTTTAACTTTATGCAGTATATTATAGTGAAAACACTAACAGACACATAGGAAGTACTTGTCACATTTAACATTCAGATGTGAATGACTTAAAATATCAATCGCTTGAAGCACTTACTGATGGCATTTTAAATGTTCATACTTTTTATTGCTGTTAAGGAGTATTACAGGTGCTTTATAGTTATGTACAGGTCATTATCTGTTTAAAAGCCATTATAATGAAAAGTGATACTTGTGTTACAATTTCTTTGTCATTAAAGACGTAATTACAGTACATTTTTCCTTATGAGGCAATATTAGACTTTATCATTAAAACTAAATATGCTAACAGTGCATTTTCACAAAGAGTTACAAGGACATTTATAACTATTTATGAATACAGACTTCATAGAAAGTGTTACCAGAATATTTTTCCCTCTTCCTATGAAGTTATCATTTTGGAGAAGGTTTTGTTAGGGCAACAATGATACGGACCATTCAGGGTTAAACTCTGGCTTACCTAATGCATCGACATAGTTACATAGGTTTCTTTGTTTCCTTTAATTAATTCAAATCTGCCCCCAGAGTAGTTGGGCCGCCTACACGTCCACATTGGCTGTGTTTGTTTTTTCTCTATCTTACCATGTTTACCACTGCATAAAGATGCTGCCTTTATTGTTGGATGTACAGTGGCAATTTCTGAGCACACATGCACACACATTCACACAGAATTCTGCTCATTAAGAGCTTTTTAATGAATTTGTCGTAGAGTAAACAATAAACGTTACAATAAACGGCGACTGAAGTGTGAAGTATATTCCTATTCGTGTTTTTGCTTGCTCAGAATAGTAGCATATAATACAAACAAAAAAATCTTGTCATGTCATGTTCTTTACATATCAAATTAACAGCAGCAGCATTGAGAAATCACATTATTAAAGGTAGGAATGCACTATTCTGAATTTTTCTCAATACATTTATCAATACATTTACTCATTTACTCTTTTTTCAATTTAAAATCTATATACCTCAATGAGTAGAATGGCTTGGGATAATTAATGGTAACAAGACTGCAACTGCACATCACTTCTTAACCTCATAGAAAAAAAACATAAAAAAACAAATGAAGGAGTCTACTGGCAAATGTGATAAGTGTGTCTAAGAAACCGTATGTCTGGATGGTATACATTCTGTTTAATATTAAGTATTGGTGCAAAAAGCGAGAAGGACCAAAAAAAGAAAAAAAATGTGTATTGCTTAAGGATAAGATAAGGAGAATGGGTGGAGAAGTGTAGAAAATGGGTGGAGTGTCTCTGTAGCATACGTTCACCTTATTAACTCAGTCTGTTTTGCCCCATTTTCACATGTAGCCTGAGGCCTCTGATATTTAAAGCTAAATATACCTGAGCATAAGAGGGGACTGGGGAAGGGATGATAGAGAGGAAGGGCAAGGAAGAAGGAGGGATGACTATTTCCAGATATAGCAACCCGCAGTAGTAACCCAATTTGTCTTTGTATGTTCACTCATTTTTGAACATCTTTCTTTATCTTTTGTGTATATTGTCTTTTATTTGAACCAACCTGGGACAAAAGGGAAAGCAGTTGAAACAAAAATACAATGACAAAAAGTGCCTCCCTGGTTAAATGTTATAAATGTAATGAATTAGTATGAATTAATATCATCATCACGCTGTAAAACACTTTCCACATCGTTGTCTGGTCTTGACCCAACAGAATAAACGCACTCTGTAGATTAAATAGATCAAAATAGATCGAAACTGCTGTCATGAAATGAGTTGTTCTACAATATATGTCCAAACATTTATGGACAGCTGCTCGTTTCTTCTCAAACCTCTATTCTTCTGGGAAGGCTTTACACTAGATGTCGGAACATTGCTGTTAGGATTTGATTGCCTTCAGCCACAAGAACATTACAGCGGTCAGGTATGTTGAATTATTAGTTTTGAATCACACACGGCATTCCAGCTCATCCCAAAGGTATTACATCCATTACTCCAGAGAGTGCAGTTTGTGTGCAGTTGCTCGAGAGCATCCCATTCTATTAGCAGTGCCTTCCTATAAAGATTATACAAGCTGTGTTTGCGCAATTGAATGTCCACAACCCTAAAGTTTCTAAATGCAGTAATCAGAAGGGGTTTCTGAATGCCATTGAAATGGAGGTCAGATTGGTTGTATATTGAAGTGAGCGCAAATAAAATACCTCATATGTTGTGATGTTATTGCATTCTTTATTTCTTTATTTTCTTTATCATTTAGCTAGCTAACAAAAGAACAGTTGGCTAAAATGATTTTGCTCTTAAAAAAATTGTTACTGATTAATATTATGATTAAGTTCAAATCTTATTTTGTATATTTTGGGTGGTCCCCATTTGAATGTAAAATGCCCCTGAATTCCAGTTAGTGAGGGCAAAAATTGGCCTTAAAAATATATTTCCTACCCTGATTTAAAATCCAGTCTTTTCTTTCTCCTTTTCCCCCCTTTTTGTCCATTGTTTCATTCGTTGCTGTAGTCATGTATGTCATAACTAAGCCTTTTGTAACCTTTGTGTCTCTCTTTTTCTTTCTCTCTCTCTTCTCATCTCCCACGCTGTAGGTGGTGGCTAAGAATGCCCACATGGCAGTGGGCTCTTTGACCATCAATGAGGAGAGGTCAGAGGTTATTGACTTCTCTGTGCCCTTCATAGAGACGGGTATTAGTGTCATGGTCTCCCGTAGCAACGGCACAGTGTCCCCCTCAGCATTTCTAGGTATAGACCGAAGTGTGTGCACTCACATACAAGCACTACACATGGACATTCTTACTGAGCAATTTGAAAATACGCAAAGTATTTCATGTCTGCTAATCAGGCCAAACAGTATTATTGTTCATGCACTACTGTTCATATGTTTGGAATCACTATTTTCAATTGTTGTTAGAGATACATGTGTAAATCTGTTTTTAATATAATGTTAGTACTCAGAAATTTCAAATAATTAGTAGGAATCCAGAAATTTTAGATGTTACAGAATGTTGAAGGCACTGTAGAAGATTCCATAATGACTGAGAAAACTGTAAGACATTCAGAATTGAGTTAAAAATAATTTAATATCCAGAATGCCTTGTATTTGAAATACACCTTTAAGTACAGTTTATTCATTTTTCAGGAGATATTTCTGAAGAGATTAAATATAAGATAATCCACTTGCATGAGGAAGGGCAAAGTCAAAGGAAAATAAGTAGAGAAAACAGAGGTTTTTAGAACTGGAGTTTGAAAAATAATATAAAGATATAGAGAAAATGGGACTCGTAACAACCGTTCAGAAGCTACCAAAACTGTCACCATCAAATTAACAATACTTTGAGCTTTCATCTTTGAGAAAGCCACAGGTGGGCCTGAAAGCATGTGTAGCTGAGGAAAAAAAAACATTTGCAAATCAAATAAAGAAGCTGCTGGTGTTCTCAGAGCATTAGACTGACCAGATTTCAACATCACTGAATGTGTTTGGGATTAGTTGGATTGTGAGAGGCATAGAATACAACCAACTGCGAGCACCTGAAAAGAATAAAGCTGTAATACTGAGAGGGTGGACAAAGTAAATACTGAATAAATTGGATTTGTATTAGTTGTTGAGGCTTCTGTGTAATTTTTTGTTAAATATGTTTCACTTTTTTCTGATGCAGAAAATGACTAACTTGTATTTAATGGTCATTTTGACTGGAAATTAAATAAATGAAGAGTGGTCTCTGGCTTTTGAGAAGTACTATATGTAAATGCAGCATATTAATGTCTCAGAAACATACATTGAATAAAACATCTAAAAATACCTTTATAATACTTTAGAATATTTGAATCTACACTGTTAATATTGAATAAAATAGCAATTATTATTCTGATAAGTTGTTCCAAACTCTTGAACAGTACTGTAGCACCTTCTGTCACACACTTTCTCTGCCAGTACAGACTCACTAAGTCGAATGAAGTGGTGTTCGTGATAAGATCACTTCTTCAGGATACCTCAATGAGCACTTCATTAACGAGACCCTCCCTCTCTCTCTCTCTCTCTCTCGCTCTCAGAGCCCTTTAGTGCTGATGTCTGGGTGATGATGTTCGTGATGCTGCTGATTGTGTCCGCCGTCGCTGTCTTTGTCTTCGAGTACTTCAGTCCTGTCGGCTATAACCGCTGTCTCGCAGATGGACGAGGTACACACGTCCACACACACTTCCACATACACAGTGGGAGAACACCTATTAAACACCCTGACACATTATAGCCAAGATGTCAAAACCCATCACTCGTCCCTGTCCATGCAAGCAATACATGCCTCTTCGCATCATATTGACCAGCACGGTAGCATCTTTCTCTAAAATATAATAAGGTGCAGTTTGATGTCAATCTAAAAGTGACCATGTCATGGAAAATCAAGTTTTCCTTGCTTTTGTCTTTTCAAAAATCATGAGTACTTTTATTATCACCCAGATTACATCATTTTCAGCTCTCCATTCGCGTTGAAGTGATAAATTAAGTGATTAAACGTTGTGCTGCTTCCGGCTGTTGAGAGGCCAATGTATTGCAGCCCTCTAGAACATCTAGACATCTGAAAGTAGTGGATTAAATTTATTTTAAGTCCAGCCTTAACAATTTGTTCTGTATATTTCAGCCCGGACTGCTTCTGAATGAAGTGCAATACACGACACCCAGTCAAGACAGAGGTCATTTACGGTTCTGTGCAAAAGTTTGAACACTACTGGTCATATGACGTTATTGTCTAAGTGAAAATAAGTTAACACATCCTCTACAGGGAACAGAAATAAATTTGGCTTTGTTTTGTACATTTTAGTTGACAATTTCTTTTTGTTTGCCAAGTTTAACAAATCATCAAATATAAAATATTGTACTATAACGTTTGAACAGGCCACATTTTTTTCTTTTCCAATATGTTAAATTCAGCTAATAAACAGTAACTGTGTATTAAAATGTGAAGAAGTATGTTCTCTGCAGTGAATGTATTTTCAAACTTTTGTACACAACTGGCCATATATCAGTCTTAAGGGCGCAGTAAGAGTGGATGACAATAAGCTGGAAAATGATAAATTTATATATAAGACGTTGGAAGATAAAACCACAAAAATACAGTGCTGAATATGGGCTGAAATGAGAGCATATTAATTAATTCACATATTAATGTTGTGAGGGCCGGGCCAACAGATCTATAGAGTCTTTCTAAAGAGAAGCAGAATAGATTCAGAACAAGTCAGGTTGGTTTGAATGGAGTCATATGGTGAGTACAGGCTGTAGTCTTTGCTGTACTTTCTGTATGTCCTGCACAGTGATGGCGTGTACAGTAATTTGCTGTAAGCTGGGAGAAATAGAGGCTGCAGATTCTCCTCTCGCCCACAGCCCCATGTTTAATGACACGCCTCCGTTACATAAGCATGTTGTACCGTGCTGCAGCTTAAAAACACTTCTGATTCTCTGTAATTACTACACACTGTAGGGTCCCTCTGTGCCTCTCTCTCTCTCTCTTTCTGTCTCTCTGTCTAGCCTCTCTGTCTAGCTTTCTGACAGCACTATGCCTTTTTCACCTCAGGTTACTGTTTCGACTGCTTCAAAACATGCTGACGATTGCATTCATCTAATTTATAAACATCTTTTTTGGCCCCTCTGTCTGTTTTATCCTCTTTTCTCTTCCTTTGCCCCTCTACCTTTCACATTGCTTCCTCTGGGCCTCCCTTGCCTTTCTCTTTCTTCCCCTCTCTCACTTTTTCTCTTTATCTCCTCCTCTCTCTCATACTTCTTTCATATTTCTTTCTCATATTTCCCCCCCTCTTCCCCCTTTTATATGTTTCTTCCCCTCTCTCTTGCCCTTTCTTTCTTTATCCCCACCTTGCATACACTCTTTCTTCCCCTCTGTCTCTCTTCCTTATCTCTTTATCTCTCTCTCTCTCACACACACACACACACACACACACACACACTATCTTTCTCCTCCTCTATTTCTTATAATTTATACTATATTTCTCCCCTTCTCTCTCTCATGTTTTCTCTTTCTCTTTCTTTGTCTCTCTCTCTCTCTTTCTCAGAGCCGGGTGGCCCCTCCTTCACCATCGGTAAGGCCATATGGCTGCTTTGGGGTCTGGTCTTCAACAACTCTGTACCTGTCCAGAACCCTAAAGGCACCACCAGTAAGATCATGGTCTCCGTTTGGGCCTTCTTCGCTGTCATCTTCCTGGCCAGCTACACAGCTAACCTGGCTGCCTTCATGATCCAGGAGGAGTATGTGGACCAGGTGTCCGGCCTCAGCGACAAAAAGGTAGCAGGGATTTACCTGTAAAACTCCACCCCACTGGAGATAAGCCTAACAGCTTTGTTGTTAATATTGCGGGACTGCTTTTAAAGCTGGCATTTTACAGTTCAGCAAATCTGGAATTAAAGCTACAGGAAGCAGTGTTACATTGTGTTGTTCATAAGGCTAAGTAATGCTAACAGCAGTTTAAACGTTTATGCACTTAAATGAATAATGGAACCATCCAAATGCCTGTAAGATGCTTAAACTTAGATCGATCTCATCATTTGCTTCATTGGACCAGTATGTGTGCAGGGCCATCAGAAAGTGTGTGCCCCCTCCTAACCCCCGCCCTGCCCCTTTGGTCACTCTAAATGATTTCAGATACTTATACAAGATGTAATATCAGACAATGAGACTGGGAGGAAACACAAAGTACTGTTTTTCAATGATCATTTAATTTACTGAAGGAAAAAACATTTTGCAACACCTACGTCACCCAAGCCACTCTAAACTCAGTAATTTTTTGTACCATGTTAAGCAGCACCAACTGCAACCAAAGGCTTCCTATAAATGCTGTGGGGGAATTTTGGCCCACTCTTCTTCACAGATTTGCTTTAATTCATCTGCAGCGGAGGGCTTTCAAGCTTGACCTGACCGTTTAAGGTCCTGCCCCAGCATCACAATGTCGTTCAGGTCAGGACGTTGACTAGGCCACTCCGAAACTTTATTTTTGTTTCTTCTGAGCCATCAGAGCTGAACTTGGTCATTGTCCTGCTGCATAGCCCACTTGTGCACGAGCCTCAGATCACGTACTGATGACTGCACAACTTTTTAGGTAGAGAGCAGAATACTGTTGCCCAGGCCCTGAAACAGCAAACATAACATCATCATCACACTATCACCACCATGTTTGACAACTGCTATGATTTTCTTATTGTGGAAGCCTTACACTGGGTGTAACAGAAGCACAGTCTTCCAAAAAGTTCCACTTTTAAACAATCACTTCAGGCTTGCAGGTCATCAAGGTTTGAAGATCTGAAACAATTAAGTATGACCCTGACCCTAACCCAAAAAAGAAGAAATCTAGAGGGGGCAAAAACTTTTTCATAGCAGTGTACCTGTGATGTATATAAGGAGGTTACCCGCTGGGTTGAACATAACTTATCCTTACACCTTACTTAACCTTAACCAAACATATCCATGTCATATGATACGTATGTATTCTTCAGACTGTTCTTTCCATCACTGTCATATTTTAACCATCATGACTTCACCCTTAAAGAAGTATACTGTGAGAAAATTGGATATCAGTATCAACTTCAGAATGAATAGCAGTCACTGTTTGGAACAAATAAGTCAAATGTATCCTTTGGCCTCCTATTTATTTATTTATTTATCGATCTAGTCTATAATGTAAGATACGAAACACTATGTGTAATTTGGCCTGAACAGGGAAAAAAATTGGAATGGTAGTGCCTTATATGTGTTAGGTGTTCATTGTTGCATTTCGGGTGTAAGCAAATTCAGTTAAACTGCCTGTAATTGGCCTAGGTGTTTGTCATGCACCGGTGGTCGGTCGTGCTAATTGCCATGCCTTTCCCTGCTATTTCTGTGGTATGTTCTTGCTGCTTTGCGTCTGGCCGGTATAAGTGAGAAATTACTGGGCTAATGGGAACTGGGTTACAGCTGCTAAAACAGGCAAGGAGAATTGACTTTGAGAGGCTGTTGTAGCCACTGAATAATTGATGTGGTGAGATTTTGTTCTTTACTTTAAGTTGCGCTTTATTTTTTTCATGTCTGGCAAAGCTTCTGGGTGTCAAGCGGATGTAGCAATATGGGTTTACAGGATACACTGACATGATTCCACTGTGAAATGAGGGAAAAAGATCTCATTCATCTTTTAAGGTCTGAAGCAGCCAAGCGCCCACAGGTCACGCCGCTGTGTTTTAGTGTTAACAAAAGTTGCACATTTCTTGTGTGTGTTTAAACCTGGATTTTGTGACTTGAAGTTAACTTTTTGGAATTCACAAATTTATTTTGTGGCCTGACGTTGATTTGTTCCAGCGTCTCAACCAGTGGTCCGCATGATGTTTTTACCATGTCGTCATGGGCTTTTTTTTTTTTAACAGCTAATTGATATTGTTTTTAATAGACTTTAATCTAGTTAGTTTTATCTAACATTGCATTTTGAGCGATTTTATTGCTAATATTATGTTATAATGTTACGTTTGTTAACGTTTAGTTAAGAGATGTTAAATGCATCCAGAATGATTCTAAACTGACTGAGAAAGCTGTAAAACATCAAGAATGAAGTTACAATAGCATTAATGTCCAGAATGTCTCATGTTTCAAAAGCTTGAGGCAGATCATTTGACAAAAAATACACTAAATAGGTAAAGTATATTGTTGCCGTCCAAAAAAGGACTGCTATTTCCATTTTTGATGATTTTTAAAATTCATATACTGAACACAGCAGCTGTCCTTTGTGTTGTGTGAAAATTCAATGAGGAATGGACCAACGGAAATGCTCCACAATCACTTTGAATAAAACCTCTTTACATTAACTTACAGAAAAAGTTAAGAATGTTTTTGCCTTCTCATGTGCAATTACTGTTCTGGAGATACATATTTACAGTATTTAACTCATGAATCGTTGAAATACTAAATAAAACATCAAAAAATATACTCTTACAGAAAGATGGTTCTTCAAGGGTTCCTTAGTAAAGAAAATGGTTCTGTACAGAACCCTGAACACTCAAAAATCCCTTTGCATGATTAAAGTGTTCTTTGCATAATGAAAGGGGTCCTCAGACTGATGGAGAATGTGCTGTAGATGGTTCTGTATAGAAACCTTTTCAAAAAGGTTATTTATAGGAACTTCTACAGCACATTCTCCATCAATCTGAAGAACACTTTCACAATGTAGAGAACCATTTGAATCATGCAAAGGGTTCTTTGAGTGTTCATGGTTCTATATAGAACCATTCTCTTTGCTGAAGAACCCTTGAAGATCCATCTTTTTCAAAAGTGTACCTTTGGTTTCTAGTTTATAAGATTAAGATTACATTGTACAATCTATTACTGTATTTTAAAATAACAATTATTGTTAATACATCAATTTACCCCAAACTGGGGTACATCAATTTACCCCAATTTAACTTGTTTGTATCTAAAACTTTAGCCTCACCAGACACTATACGTAAAGGGACGTGTTACCTTTTGGGTTCTGGGTTCCATCAATGTCTTTATTTCAGTATTAATTGAATATGTTGATTTTGTCAACTTTGATAAAAGTGCAATTTAATAAAAGTTACTTAATAAATTTTTTATCAGACTCCAAAGGCATGATGAGCATATTGTTGTTGCATGCTGTTGTAATAAAACCTTTCATCTCTGAATGTAGATAATGTTGTTTAATGCATCTTCATATAATGATTTTATTCAAAGTATTTTTGGAGCTTTTCTATTGTTCTGTTCATCATGAAATGGTTACACAGTGTAAAGGGCAGCTGATGTCTTTAAATGGTGTGAAAATAAATGAAAAACAAAATGAGGAAGACTTCCTAATTGCATTTTTCCAGAGTTTTTCACCCTCTCTGTCTCTCTCCTCCCTCCAGTTCCAGCGTCCAAATGACTTCTCTCCCCCATTCCGTTTTGGCACGGTTCCTAACGGCAGCACAGAGAGGAACATTAGGAACAACTACAAAGAGATGCACAGCTACATGACCAGCTTCCACCAGAAGAACGTAGACGAGGCCCTCCAGAGCCTGAAGACTGGGTGAGTGAGAGAGAAAGAGAGAGGGGTGGTTCAGGATGAGCAAGTGTGAGGAAAAAGAAAGCAACAGAAAAAGAAGTGAGGGGTGGGGGACAGAGAGTAAGAGAGACAGAAGAAGGGAGAAAGTGAGAGAGAGAGAGAGAGAGAGAGAGAGGAGGAGCGATAGAGAAAGAAGCTTAAGGATAGGATATGTATGTGAGTGAGTGGGTGTTCAGTGGACTCACAGCTGGTAATAGCATCAAACTGGAGAAGCCTGAGGCTGTTTGTTTAGAAATGACTAAGCTACACATCTCGCCGAGACACTGAACTGACTGTAACGTTTAATTCCTCTGGACTCATTTCTGATGTGTGGCATCTCTAATCATAATAGATTTTAATGAGCATACAAGTGTTTCCTATACATCCATTTTCACACCATATTGTAATACATTATGCAAGAGCAATCACCAGAACCCAGAACTGTATACTGTTTTAAACTAAAATTGGAAATACACTACCCTAACAAAAGTATTGAGACACATCTGTGATGGAGATTAACTAAGCTTTTTGGGAAATAATAAGGAAATTAGAGCTGCACAATAAATTGTTTATTCACTGTTATCATGATATCAGCCTTTGCAATACTGATATAGCAGAAGTGTACAATATGCAAAAAAGGCTGTAATCATTCACTGAAAGTTTTCTTGTGTGCTGTGGCCAATTACAACTGCTTATTGTGTTTGGATCAATCAATGCATTCACTTGACCCAAAAAATGTAAACAATTTTGGTCAGAAATGATGTAAGCTAATCCTTATCCACATCACATTATAGGTTTACTAATGTGTTGTTAATGTACTGGAAGGTATATCACTATCACAATATATAGCAGTGTAATTGCGACGTGGCAGTTTGCCTTAACCAGAATATTGACGTGCCTTAATTCCCCCTCTAAACTTTCCACTGCTACAGTAAAATAGATCCATTTGTGAGTAGTTTACCTAAGTGCAATTTTTGTCTCCTTATTTGTGTTTCAAATATTGCAATGTTTGTTGCACAAAGCCTAAAATATAACATGTTGATTTTTTTTTCAGCCCTATGTCATGGTATGGCAGTGCCACAGTGATTATATACAGTGCTGTGCAAAAGTCAGTGACCACCCTTGAATTTATTTAATTTTAGTCAAAACAGCCATAAAAAATAAGAAGAAAACATATTTGACATAAAGTCTCACAGAAGCCTGAACAACTCCATATAATATAATTTTTCAGTATTTAATGTCTGCACCTTTATTACAGCTACGATTCTTTTCATTTTTTCAAAAAAAAATCTGCAGGGATACTTTTCTATACCAACAGAGTTCAGTCTTAGAATTTGGTTGCTTTTTTTCCCCACGATCCACGTAATTCCTATTACAAATCTAGACTCCACAATCCTTACTCCACTTGATGACTCAGACAAGTTCTGGTGCAGATTTTCTTTTCTCAGTAATGGCTTTTTGACAACTACATGTCCTTTTAGCCCCATAGTGTTCAGTTGTCTTCTCACAGACAGAAACACCTGTGGGTGTACAGAAGAGTGGTCAAATAAATACTGATTTAATATTGTGCTTAGTGTTGGAGAGAAAATGAATAACTTGTACTTTATGGCTTTTTTTTTTACTGGAAATTAAATAAACAAAAGGATGGGCTCTGACATTTGCATAGTACTGTTGTGTGATTTAGGACGAATACCAGTATGTGCCATTGGAGTACAACTGCCAATTCCAAAAACACCTGTCTTGAACAATTTGAAAGAGAATGAAGGTGATACTGCAGCAAAGGAAAGAGCAGATTGCTATAAAAAACTGCTGACCAAAAGACAGTGTGCACTGAGATGCCTGTTCTTGCTTTAATAAAAGAAGAGGGGATGGTTATCCCACCTTTATGTTAACAGAAAATTGCTTCAGAGCCTTCCACCAGATACTAGTGCAGTTATTTGGGCCAAAGTGCTCCTACATGAATAAAATTTTGCAGTAAAAGCATGTTTGCACTGAACTACACTTGTGGTAGGAGTAGTGTATATAATCTTTAAGTCTATGGATAAAAAGTGACTATAGGAGCACACCCTGAAGTGAGATGTCACATCCGCAGCTGCTGATGTAGATCAAAACTAGACTTTATGTATTTCATGCTGTGCCTTGGACTTGCTCCATCATGTTCAGAACCAGCACCCTACATTGGCAAACTACAGCTAGGGCCTCGGTGTGATAGTTCACTAGTGATACAGTATATGAGGCTTTTTTGCTAAATTGACCAAAAAAACGGGGAAAAAGTCATGCGAAAATATATGCACAAAAAAAAAGTTGAATTGGCCATGGCCTAACAAGCACTCTGTAGCATTCCCTAGCCTCTGCGGTTTAATTTATACTTTAGCAATTGCAATTTGGCCTTGTGAGTGTAAAGTCCACATGGGTATCCAAATATAGTTGGCATCCATTAGCTGCAGTCAAGCACTCTTCAACGCCTGAATGATCTTTCCCCCTCTATTCTTGACAGTAAACTGGACGCGTTTATCTACGACGCTGCTGTGCTGAACTACATGGCAGGCAGAGACGAGGGCTGTAAACTCGTAACCATCGGTAGTGGTTATATCTTTGCTACCACGGGCTACGGCATTGCAATCCAGAAAGACTCAGGCTGGAAGAGACCAGTGGATCTCGCCATTCTGCAGTTGTTCGGAGACGGTAAGCCCTGTAAAATGACATTCATATGAGCAGTATTACAGGAATTAATTCTATTTAATTTGGCCACTGAACAAGCCCAGAGATACTTTGTTAAATGTGAGCGCACATAGGTATTTCAGGTGAATACTCCCTGAAGAATGTTTTGTATGTGAATGCATATGAGTCTCTTTGGCCAGTTATCCTAAAACCAAGGCAATAGTAGCAATATTATTAAGATTTCATGCATTATACAAGCACAACATAATGTACTTAATCAAGTTAGATCAATTCCACTCCCTTTGCAAAGGCCGTATGCAGGTATACTATAATAAAAGTAAAAAAGCTATTAGATCCAGTAGTTGTACTCATACTTAAAAAGACCTAAACACACATAGGCTATGGAATTGTACTGTTTGTAAATGAGTACATTGCTCCAAAATGTAGCCCATAATTATTTACCAGAAGTTGGTTTGATAGTATAGAAAGCCTAATAAGCACAGAGTTGCACTGTTAAATGTATAACCCATACTTTTACAGAATGAAGTTTATGTTGAGGAAATGTTTATATTAAAGGGACACTCTGGTCAAAATGAGAAATGTAACCATCACTATATCTGGTGTAAACCTTTCTGCTTGCTTCCTACAGCAGTGCTGCAGTGGTACCTAGAGTACTTTTCTTGTTTAAAGAAGGCAAGAAAAACCACCTTCTGATGATGTAGGTGGGAGGAACTTTTGAAAAATAACAGCTGCTTTGGGGTGGATTTTTGGGGGCTTTTTCAGCTGTTGAATGCAGAATGAAATCAGTTACTGCTAAGAATCTGAATATCTTTTTTGCAGCCATTCAACTCTGGTTACTTTCATTTTTTCAATGGAGAGAATGAATTACTCGAATGACAGTAATGACTCATCAGATGAAGATGACAACAACCCAAAAGCTAAAGTTAGCAAAATAGCTATCTGGCTGTCTAAATACCTTAAAATTTTGTCTGACGACCAAGGTAAGAGTTACGGTAATAATAGCATGGTTGTATTGCTTAGCCTGGGGATCACTGTCTTTGCTAGCAGTCAGGTTTTGTAGACACCATGGGGATTCCCAGTGGTTGTAAGAAGTGTTAATCCTTAATGCTGTGTATTGTAGTGAGTGAACATCGATGAATGAAAACCATATAAAATTGAGAATTTGTTTGAACCAATGAGGCTAAGGGATATAATGCTGCTTACTGGTAACAAAGATGTCACGTTCTGTTCAGAAAAGTTCATGATGTCTGCATTTTGTTCCTATTGTTTATTTTCAGTTTTATATTTTCATTCCATGATCCAGCATTCATAGTGTGTATATATACTATAACATTCAATTCAAGCTTATTCTATAGCTTTCTCATATGGGTCACTGGCTTTGTTAGTCGAGAGGTAGTCTAGAGCTCCTCCGAGAGTCTTAAATAACTTCCCCTTAAGGCAGACATCATACCCACACCCAGATAAGAAATGACAAGGACCTGGATTTACACCCACCATAGTCCCATGTTGATGAGTATGTGTATATGGAGCACAGTAGCGCTTTAAATGGTCCTGTTAGAACTCCTGTTACACTAACAGACCTGTTTGAGGCATTAGAGCTGACATTTGTCTCAGTCATCTTGCCCATTGTTTCCTGGTGTACTCTGTACTCTTACCAGTGTTAACTCTGTTCATTTCCAGGAAAGGTTTAGCTTACATATCCCAAGTGTTTTAGGGTTTGAAATAAGAACCAGCTTAAGATCCTTAAGGACTCAATTGGACCCCAGTATACAATAGATGTCACTGTTATTACAGGATGTATACATTTCAGGCATATAATGACTTGTTAAAATGAAAAAATATCTAAAATATTACAGTACATAGGGAACCTCAAATTAGTAACAACCTAGTAATGACAAACACCAATACTGCCATGTCAAAGCATAATAATTTATGGCATCTCAGAATAGTTTTATTTTTAACACAGTGACCTTATGTTAGGTGTCTACTGTACATAATGTAACTTGCAAAGTAATTTGTTAAAATGAAAAATGTAAATGTTATTGATTATGTTGAGACTAATAACATTCAACTTCACTTTCACAGATATTTCACAGTCTCAAATTACAATTACTTCATAACCCAGATTTACAAAGTCATCCAGTCATGGAGCAATATTTTACACCACATCTTGTAGCCTGCAGCTGTAATCTCATAATATTCTCTGTGACTTTTCTTCATCAAAAGATATGGAAAAGTATATAGACATATCAAAAGATATAAGGCACTACAGACAACAAAAGAGAAAAGAATGGCAAGTGTTGATCTTGGGATTTTTACTACATTACATTGTTTCCTCTGCTTTCTTTTTCATCCACTTAACAAGCCTGAGCCATTACTGACAAGCCAGTCTCGTTCTTCACACGACTTCTGAACAAAGCCGCACAAAGAACATGGCCCGCATGCTCTGCTACAATCGCAAATACCGCTAATAGATTTCGACACTGTGGATCATACGTTGTACTGCAAGGATATCAGAGCTGGATCGTGGGGACCCAGCCGCACAAAGCACTCTCTTGCTAGCCTAAATTAGCCCTGGCCTAGTTACTGGGCTACCTTTTGAGTGATTGCTCATGCATGCATATAGACATGCGCTGCTAGCGACACGCGTTAGCTTAGCGACGCGGCAGCTGCCCATTTGGAGGTCTGCTGTAGGTATGCTCAGGTGTGTCATGCATTGTTATTTCGTGGCCGCTAGGCATTATATAATTTTATATAGGAGCCAAGACTGAGAGTAGTGCCCTAGTTAGACGTGTCAAGGCTAGCTTGTGGCGGCCCTTGAGTGGATTGGGGATGGCGTCAAGTGTGTGTGCGTGTGTGACTTCCAAACTGGAGCACTCTCTCACACACTCACAAACATACACCGCACATGTAGGCAAACATTTACACAGTTGCGCTATCACTATCCCCGTTTCTGTCTCTCACGTACGCACACATGTCCGAAGGGAGCAGTCTACATAGTTTTCCTTCAGCAAGGGGAAACCAATACGCTGACAGAGAAAGAAATATCTCTTAGGCCCAAAAAGCCTGTAGGTCCTCTCAGATCTTCTCCATCACATCTTTTAAGTAGGGCATCGTAGGAAAAGCTTCAGATTAGCAGCCAGCATCAGAGCGACTTTAGCATCTAAGAAGACCTACTTCGTATGGGCATGACCAGTGGCGTAACTTAGGATCTTGGACCGGAGTGCAAAAAGACTGAATTTGCCCCCCCCATGAAAATGACCTTAAATAAAACAAAAGACTATGTAATTTATATATTTATATATATATATGTAAATAAACAAAAGTGACTGGACGGTAGAAAGTAAATACAATTCACAAAGCTTTTTTGTGATATTTACATTTTAAAATTGTCGAGCAATGTTACATGAGTGCATACTTAGTTGACTAAAAATTGTCACCTTCAGATTGATGCGCTCCTAGGTCTAATGTAGGCAAATAGTGGAAGTATTTTAGTGAGTTATCATATTGAAATTGCATAAGTAGAAATACACACACACATCATCTAAACCGCTTATCCCTCTGGGTCGCGGTGGGATGCTGGAGCCTATAGTAGAAATACAAGAGGTCCAGATATGTTATGGATCTGATCACCATGCACTGCCCCCCCCCCTCCACCATGCTACAGGTAGTTATAATGGAATTCACTGATTTTTCAAAATGTCTGTACAAATCCATCATTAAGATGTAAGCAAAGTCATTCAGACTGGTTTGATATGAAATGTTTCATTTTAGACAAACAGATTTCTTTACAGTAGTGGCAACAGGAACCAAAGGGCCATGTCTACACTGCAGATATAACTCATTTTTATTGCTATCCAAAATGACCAATGAACCTACACATGTCTTCTGAGCTTTTATGTTTAATGTTAATAATGTTTAAATAGTGGTAAATTTGAAAACTACTATTTTGCCTTAAAATGCCTCTCCACCATGAATTAAAATAATACATTTTAGGCCAAAAGCTTATTGTAAGAAAAGTCATCAGGCATTAAGCAACATATTACTTGAAATAGTCACAAATAACTTTGTGATGTAGCTTTAAGAGGCATTAAACTCCTGGGACGTCTGGTTCCTATCGCCATCGCTGTGAACAATTCTGATAGGGTAAAAAAAAAAAGAAATCTAATTAGGTAGGTTTCTCTAGAACAAAGCATTTCACACCACTCTAAATGACTTTGTTTACATCTTAATGACTGAATTATGCAGAAATTTCAAAAAATCAATGGAATTCTCCTTTAAGCCAGTGGGTATTACAGCAATGAACATTCTAACTACTCCAAATGCTTGACTATCATGTTTAATCAAAGAGCTAGCTTGCTCCCTTTGTCTCTGAGTATAGAATGGATGGACAGGGAGTGGATTTATATTGGGGGTGCATAATGCTGCCCCTCCTTTGAGAACTGCCAGGCCCTTAAGGCCCCCCCCCTTAGCTCCTGGAGCCAAATCACAAGTGACGCTCATAATCAATCATTAATGAGGAGGCGCTCCGTCGGGAATGCGTCGGGAGTAATGCGACATGACAAATGTTGCACATCGCGGGGGCCTTAATTTGTTTACCGCACGCGGCATTGGAGAAGTTCTCAACAAATGCTCCCAGATGAAGATAAGCACAAACAGACGAATGCGTATTAACGCAAATGCCAAAAAAGAGCTCACACGAACGCACAAAGAGGGGGAAAATCCTGACACACATTTAAACAAACCCTTTAGAAAACACCTAAAGCAACTCCTACAAAACATTTTTCTCTCAGAAACATATACAGTCAGTGTGTTTCTAACGTACACACATATTTCAACTTACAGTACACTACAGTACACTCACTTTCACTCAAGGCCAGACATCACGCACTTACTCATCTCTCTCCCTCTGCCCTTGCTCTCTCAATCTCTCTGTGTGCCCTTCACCCTAAACAAACTCCAACTCTGCTGCCATCCTCACAACATTTCTCTCCCTCTCACCATCCTTCCATAACCCATTCATCCCTCCACCTCTCCCTTTTCCCATTTGTCATTTCATGTCTCCATCCAAACCTCTCCTTTCCTCTTTCATCTTTCCATTCCTCATTCTCCAATTCTGGAGTCCTTCTCCCACTCTCTCCCCACACCCCCCCCCACCCTTCTCTTTCTCTCTCTGCAGGTGAGATGGAGGAGCTGGAGGCTCTGTGGCTGACTGGGATCTGTCACAACGAGAAGAACGAGGTGATGAGCAGCCAGCTGGACGTGGACAACATGGCCGGTGTCTTCTACATGCTGGGGGCGGCCATGGCGCTGTCGCTCATCACCTTCATAGCAGAGCACCTGTTCTATTGGCAGCTACGCTTCTGCTTCATGGGCGTGTGCTCGGGCAAGCCCGGCATCACCTTCTCCATTAGCAGGGTAAGTGGATCCCTCATCCTATACAAGCACTCTCTCCTTTCAGAACCACTCTGGGTTGACGTATGCATGGGGTGCTTGAAGGACCCTGTTGTAGCAGCTTTGAAAAACTGACCTGGGAGAGGTGCTGTTTTCTGATGAGAAACGCCCCTTTGACTAGAACTAGAATTCCAGAACTTCTATAACCAAACAATTGACCTATCCTTGCTCCACCCATAACTGCATTGTTTCATAGCAACTGTGTGAGGTTGGACAAGCTTTGCAGGTTGTTGCCAAAAATCAGCCTAATGAGAAATTTACCACGTAGTTCAGTTTTTGTCAAAAAATGAAAGTTTAGAATAGTTTAAATTATAATCAAATACTTTTCAAACCTACCTAGATTGAAATAGCTACAGTGTAATCAAGCTTGGTAGCATTACGTTGTAAACTGGAAGCTCATTATATAGCGAATCTAAACTCCAACCTGAATTCATTGGGTTTAAATGGTTTTTGTTCCAATATTCTGTGAAGCATGTCCAACTTGGCAACAGTTGTTACGATAAAATGCAATTTGGGGCGGAGCATGGAAAGTTCAGTTGCATTGTTACATAGCTAAGCAGACCAGAAATTCTACGTATAGATCTAGAACTAGAAGTTATTGCATAAAATTATAGTTCTGCTGAAGTTGTAAGGCTGGCTATACACGGTGAAGCTTGAAACTTCAGTTGTAATGACCACTTAAAAATGAATTTTCAAACACTTAGCATACGCTGAACAGAGTAAAAAGTATAAATATATAGTAAAGAACCATAGGTAGATAGATAAAAGACAAGATGCTAATTTGGCTAACTAGTGGAGTAATTGAATGTGTTGCAAAAACTTTTTTTTTACTTGTTTTAACTAGTTGCATGAATTTTTCACCATGTAAAGTCAGCCCGAATTTCTAGAACTTCAGGTAAGATCTAAGAATTTCTGCTCTGCTCAACTGTATAACAGTGTAGAGTGTAGAGAGTAATGAATAGCTGAAATATTGGCACAGTCACGTTTCACTTAAATTATTTCACATATTTTACTTATGTAAAATCACTTACTTTAGCCCTTATTTTAGTCATGTAAATTGTAGTGTATTATTGTAAGGACAGTGTCCCTATATGGAGAATATATTATATGATAACCTTTCCCTCAAGCAGTGAACCTTCTCTTGCTGTGGAACTGTATAATCAAATGTGTTGAAATATTAAAGAATGCAGGAGCAGGACAGGGATGGTAGATAAGGATAAGAGTGGCTCGAGGAGCAGACAGAAAGGTAAAAGAGTTTAAAAACCAAACAGTGCAAGGGGGGAAAAAGAACGCAGGAGTAGGCCATAAAAAAGAAGGGATAGAACCCTCTAGAGGAAGAAAGCAGAAAGAAAGAGGAACGAGATAGCATAGACATGAGAATATGTCAGTACCAGTCCAATCAGATGAAGGGGTTAGGAGATAAATGAGAGAAAAGAGTCAAGCTGGCAAGGATGACCTGAGGTTAAAAAAAAAAAAGGACAGGAGGTAGTAGAGATAAGGCAGACACAATGGAAGCACACAAGAAGAATGGATAGATATGGTGAGGCAGAAAAAGTAAGAGACAGACAAGAAACCGTTTCTGACGTGGCCTCTCAAAGGAGGCCATGGAATGCCAACAGGGGGGCCACCTTTAACCTTTGAAATATTTTTGGGAGAGAATTCTATTAACAGTGTCCCTCCTGGTGTTCGTTTTGGTATTTATGTGTGTGGTTATTCTTTGTGACATTATATCGTCAAAGATATTTCAGGGACTTTTAGTTTGGGAAACACTAAAGGATGGACAACAGGAACTGACATGCAGTATGTAAATTAGAACCCCACATTCCTGCCTTTGTTGTATTTGATTGTGTACTGAAATGTGGATAAGTGGCTTAAAGAGTAATACATTTAGGCATGTTGATTAAGCTGAAGAGGTTTGGATAATGTTGTGTAATTAATTTGCTTTATGTGTCTTTAGTACTAAATAGGCCATCCGAAGAGAGGCAACAATGTCAGCTGAATTTTAATCAAATTGATTTACAGTATTGATTGTTAGTAAAAAAACAGGCTCACTGTAACACTATCATCAATCATTCCTTCTGCATCTGTCTCTCTCTTCTTTTCTCTGCCTTTCTTGTTTCTTTCTCCTTTTTCTCAATCACTCATTTTCCATCTATGACAGTGCAGGGTTGGGGTCCTGATGTATAAAGCTTTAATGAACCTATCATTCACTGGTTTCGTCCAGTTCACTATTAAATCCTATCTACTATTTTTTTTAAGTCTCAAATTTAAAAATTAATCTCAATTTTGCCTCTACGTGTGGCAAAATAGCACTGCTTAGATAACATTCTCTTTCATAGAAAATCAGTGCAGGGTTGTAAGTCAGTAGCATTAATTTCAGAGACCTTTTGGTGAAGCTTACTACATTGTAAATTCTTGAGATCAGTGTGCTTACATGTATAAGAAAATGTCAAGAGTGAGATATCATAAGTGCTTATAACATAATTGTTATTGCACCTATTGCTTTTCTCTTCATCACCCTTACCTCTCTGTGGTTTCTCTAACAGGGCATCTACAGCTGCATCCACGGTGTACAGATCGAGGAGAACAAATCAGGCCTCAACTCCCCATCAGCCACCATGAACATGAACATGAACAACACACACTCCAACATCCTTCGCCTGCTGCGCACTGCCAAAAACATGACCTCCGTGCCTGGGGTCAATGGCTCCCCCCACAGTGCCCTGGATTATGGCCACCGCGAGTCAGCCGTCTACGACATCAGCGAGCATCGGCGAAGCCTAGTAGGCCATACTGACTGCAAGCCTCCGCCACCATACTTGCCCGAAGACAATATGTTCAGTGACTACGTGAGTGATGTGGAGAGGACTTTTGGGAACTTGCACCTGAAGGACAGTAACCTGTACCAGGATCATTACCTGCACCACCATGGGGGCACGGGATCCGGGCTGGCTCTGGGTATGTCGGGTCCCTTGCCTAACCGACCTCGTAGCTTAGGAAGTGCCAGTTCATTGGAGGGTGGGATGTACGATTGTGACAGCTTAGGGGGAGGGGTAGCGCCCATCTTCACCACCCAGCCCCGCCAGTCACTGACACACAGGAACAGGGAAAAGTTTGACCTGATTGCGGGCCACCCCACCCAGTCGAGCTTCAAGTCTGGCCTGCCCGATCTGTACGGGAAGTTCTCCTTCAAGGGTGGGGCGTCCAGTTCAGGGTTTATAGCGGGACATGACAGGTACTGCGGGGGAGGTGGGGCGGGCTCGGGAGGGGACGATGGGAATATCCGCTCGGACGTGTCGGATATTTCCACTCACACCGTGACCTATGGCAATCTTGAAGGCAATGCCAAGAGGCGCAAGCAGTACTGGGACAGTCTGAAAAAGAGGCCTGCGTCTGCCAAGTCCCGTCGGGAGCAGGATGAAATTGAGCTGGGCTTCCGGAGACGCACGCATCACACCATCCATCACCACCACCACCACCACCCAGTTTCGCAGGGACACCGTTCGGCTACCCCACCCGTCGAACGCAAAAGCCAGAGAGGGGGCAACTGCTCCTCATACCTGTTCCGCGACAAAGAGAACTTGAGGGACTTCTACAAGGAAGGGGCATCCCCATGGGAACATTTGGATTTGAGTGATGCTCCTGGAATGGGTGGCGGAGGGGGTCTGGGTGGGGGTGGATGTGGTGGCATAGTCGGCAGCGGTGGTGGCGGGGGAGCGTGCACTAGTTTGGTTCCCGTGGACGATTTCTTGAAAGGTAAATCCAAGAAGACAGAGGTTAAGGGTGGAGTGGGAGGAGGAGGAGGAGGATCTCCTGGGCAGCAGGGCCATGCATGCTGGGAAAAGAACATTGGAGGGGTGGGAGGGTTAACTGGTGGGGACTGGGAATGCCGTAACTGCCACAGTGGAGGAGGTGGAGGTGGCAAGCCAGTTTGCATGCACGGGGGAGGAGGGGGCGGGGGCTATGCGGCTGCAGGGGGTGTCGGGGGATCCAGTGGAGGAGGAGGTGGGGGGAGCGGACAAGTTTCCAGCCGCCCAAGCTCAGCCACCTGCAAGCGGTGTGATTCGTGCAAAAAGCCGGGCAACTTGTACGACATCAGCGAGGACAACCACCTCCTCCTGGATCAGATAGGGGGCAAGTTCCTCCTGGAGGGTGGGAAGGGAGGTGGAGGGGCCCAGACCCAGGCGCAGAGGCGCAAGTTTGGCCCAGGCGGCAGGGTTCTGCGCAGGCAGCATTCCTACGACACGTTCGTAGACCTGCAGAAAGAAGGGGCGGGCAGGATGGGAGGCTCAGGAGGCTTTGGAGGCGGTGGAGCTTCCATGCTCCCTCCGCCCCGGAGTGTGAGCCTGAAAGACAAAGATCGCTACATGGAAGGCGCAAGCCCCTATGCCCAGATGTTTGAGCGGTATGCGGGAGGGGAACGGGAGCCTTCTTTTTTTGGTGCTGGGGACCGAGGGAAGGGCGGGGGCTCGTCGTTTAGCTTGTTCCGTGGGGGTGAAGGTGGGTTGCATCGTCGTTCGATAGGCGAGAGGGACATGAGGGACAGAGATAGAGGCATGATGGGAGGAGGAGGAGGAGGAGGAGGTATGGGCGGTACCCGAGGGGTCGGGACTTACTCCTTGTCTAAATCTCTCTACCCAGATAAGGTGAACCAGAACCCATTCATCCCAACCTTCGGCGACGACCAGTGCCTATTACATGGCGCCAAATCGTACTACATCAAAAAGCAGCAGACACAGCCGCAGCAGCAACAGACGCAACAGCAGCAGCAGCAGCTCCTCAACAACAACCGGGCTGACTTCCGAGGCTCCATGGGGGTGACTTCCTATTTGCCAGTCTCTGCCTCTGCCGGGGTCATGTCCAACGTGGGACCCCGGTTCCCCAAGGAGCTATGCCTGGGCGGGCCCCTCGGCAACCACCACGGAGGGGCGGCGGGCAACAACAAGCTGCTGTCAGCAAGGGACGGGTTAGGGATGGGGCAAGGACAGAGACCGTTCAATGGCTCTAGTAACGGACATGTATACGAGAAGCTCTCCAGTATTGAGTCTGATGTCTGAAGTTCGACTGTGAGTGAGAGAGGGAAAAAGAGAGTGACAGAGAGAGGGAGAGAGAAACATGGAAAGTTTAAGAAAGGAGGCAGCAGACGTTGAGACTGATGAGGGAATAAACCAACAGAAAGTGTCTGCAGTGTCTACTTAATTTCTACGTTCAAAAGGAAGAGGAAAAAAATGAGCAAGAGGAACTGACCGATGCTTTAGGTGAGCAGACAGAGCACTGTAGGGGCCACGTGTAAATAGAGAGATGGGACCAACTCACTAGAGAGTGACGAACTCTGCGTATCCCTCTCTTTTATCCTCTCTTCTTTTTCTTATCCCTTCTATTTTTCTGCTCCTTACGCCAAAACGAAACGTCCGATCCAGCTTAGGCACGGAGACCTGGTACAATCATGAATGGAATTCAGTTATCGTCTTGAAACAACAGGGTAAAACTTACAATAATTGTATTGATAACGTTGTTAACAATAATATTATTAGATATTACAATGTTTATGATGTTCAGTTTGGGCTTGATTTCTGGATGTTATATGCTGTTATATATTTGTACTCTAGTTACAATTCTTTGTTAGCACAATACTTTGCAGGAGGCTTCTTATTTGATCATGGGATCTTATTTGATCTTATTTGTCAATTGAGCTTGCATTGTCTTACGTCATCGCGCCATTCTGCCGTGATGTGGAACACCAGGACCGCTGTGCAGAATGCGCCCTCTGCCAGGGACGATGCCAAGCTAGAAGAAATGTAGACAAACTTGCTTTCCTTTAAGATTATTTACTATTAATTATTCATGTTAATTTTATTTCTGATATGGAGTGCTGTAAAATGTATGTAAAAGGCATGATGCACAGTACGTCAGCTGTACTCGAGATATTGTTGTGAAGGACATTTATTATGATCTCTTTTTATGGTTTTACAACTTTTACAACATTGCATTAATGTCAGTAGAACATTGGTTTAGTTCACAGCACATTATGTGCCTTACCAGGAGTCCCAGAATTCTAATTATACAGGTCATATTGCCATGGCAACTTTCTGGTCACTGCACACTGATTGGTTATTGGATGATTCATGTATTATTCTGGAATTATCCTTATTGTGAAGTAAGCACCTGATCTTGAATATACAGTGAGCAGTGCATTCTAGAGACATAAACCTGAGTGTGGTTCATTAGTCTGAGAACCTGGTTCTAAAGAAGGAGCTAATGAAGTTTAAACCCGACAAAAACAGTACAGAAGGACCTGCACGTCCATGCCCAGCACATGGGTTGTCATATACAGAGTTGAGCTTCAGCGCTTTAAGTTCAAATGCTTGAAAAACAAAAAAACAATTGATTCATTATTTTTCCTCTCTGTATCCCCAATCTCTTCAGTACTAAAGTCTTTGATCAAGCAGCAAATTAAAACCAATGTCACGGTTTTGTTTCCTCTTAGAGTGCACTCATTATTCAGTTTTCTTTCTTTCTTTATTTATTTCTTTCTTTCTTCCTTTCTTTCTTTCTTTCTTTCTTTCTTACTTTCTTTTTTGTGCACACTTTGTCCTTTGGGAAGCACTCGGCCCAACAAAAGCTGGGTGTTGTGTGATATTATGAAAGAGCTCTTTGTCTCAGCATTCGCTTGTATTTTTTTAAATGTAAATATTCCTTTTTTCCACACTGTACAGTGCACAGACAGCAAGGATGTAACTTTAGAGAAATCGTGTGTTACTAAATTAGGTACAAAGTGAAATAAAATAGTTGCACAGTTCAACCTGGCCACAATACCGCCAAACACCCAAATTAGATCATGAAATGTTATTTATTGTCTCACCACTTTTACATTTTTTTCACAAATAGTGACCTGACTAGTTGTTGGAGGCATAGGTTCTGGATAATCCTTCTTGAGTGTAATAGTTGTTGATTTTGCATGGACACCCTTTCACCCCACATTAACAGAATGTTTTTAATTCCTCTTTGTATATGTTGCAATGGAAACAGAGCTTACTACCCTAATTAAAGGTGTGCCCTTCAACTCCTGGACAATCGCAGTCAAAACATCACTTCAAGACAGTTTACAAAATTCAAGATCACTGTTTTAAAACTCAGTCGAGGTATTTTGTCTAGTATTATCAGACAAAGAGGATGGACATAAAGTGCTTACCAGCTATTTTTCTAAGTAGCCAATTATGTAAAGAAATGAACTAATTAACTCATCCAGCCATACAATTAAGAATGAAAGTCTCCTCCATTTATTGGCATTAGTTCTAGTTTACTTTTTTGTTGCTGTTTAGTTTAACATCGTCTTTTGAGACACCGATGAGCACATGATAATTTCTACCTTTCTGGTTACAGAAGAACAGTTAAGTTTTCCCATACACTGTTAGATCCTGGTATGAGTTTGTTGTGTGAAATATACATTTTCTTTACTCACATTTTGTAAGCCAAACTGATCTCCAATTTAAGCACAATATTTATACTATTTGGTTAATAATTGATGTGTATATGACTATCGGTTTTGTGGACTTTAAAAAACAAACCACATTTATTGCCACATTTACTCATTTTTTTGCTAAGTCTGTGTGTGAGAGTTTGTGAAACCGTGAGTACATTGTGAGAGACATGCATGCATCTTTCTTTCTATTTTACATTCCTGCTTTTACATTCTTGCTTTTAGACTATGTATAATTCAAGGACCATGTCTAGTGTTTTCTTTCTTTGTGCAGAGAAATATGTGTATTTCTTTTGCTTAAGTTGTACCAGTTAGTGCCATACAAAGGTAATGTTGATAAGCTGTATATAATTTAGTCGGGGAGACATTATGGCGAATATGCTAGCAGAGATGGATACATCTTTGCAGCTTGGAATATGGACGTACATTGAGACATTGATAAAAGCTTGTATTTAGAGAAGGCACTGTCATGTCTTCGGCCTGAAGTTTTTACTTTACGTCGCTGGGCAAACACTAATGGTGGGTCCTAACCTGGGTTAGGAATGTAACCATATAACCATGAGAATTTATTTTCATTCTTGTGATCATATAGGGCTAATTTTGTCACTTGAAGCGTTTGAAATCTTAATCTCTCATAGTTGTTTTGGTATAGGGGGAAATTATGTGCATGAACTGTAGAGGCACCCTTAAGGTTTTTTATGCTTGGTCTTCTTTCTTTTTTTTTTTAAGAGTACACTATTTGTTCACTTCAGTCAGTTCTTTAATTGAACTAGCCATGTTTTGCCCACAGTTGCATTCTTTGGTAGCTGCTGTTACTGGGTTGGACAGGTTTTACAGAATGTTGGCAAAAAATCCCATCCAACATAATGAGTCACTTTAGCGTACTATTCAGTTTTGGGCAAAATACCTAAATTATTCACATTAGACCGCTGCAATGTTGGTTTTGATTTAAGACATGATGTTTTCAGTTTAAAAAATGCTGCTAAGCTGGACTTTGTTGTTGTTGCTAACTGGAATTTGGCAGGTTGGAAACCACAGCAACTTTGCTTTAGAATTCGCCACCTTGCTATGAACTACAAAAAAATTGATGATTTGTCTTTTTATTGTAATCTTTCATTTCGCTGTTGTCAGAGAAAATCTTGAATCTTCAAAATGATAACTTTATAGGAGAAAGAAAAAATCTGTTTTACTTTTATGTAAGTCAATTGAACCAGGCTTTTTCCAAGTTATTTTGAGCCGTTTCTTTTGGTCCATTCTTCATGAAATTTACACACAGTGTAAAGAGCAACAGGCATTTTCAAATTATGTCAAAAACTGAAAAACAACAATATGCATACAAAATAAAACTAAATTGAGCTAAATTCACAAAATGCTACAGTTTTTCATTTTCTGACGTTCTGTAAAACTTGTCCAACCTGACAACAGATGTTACAGAAGAATGCATATGTGGGAAGAGCATGGCTAGGATTCAGAGTTTCGCAGCTTGGTGCATTTGCAGAAAATGTGTGGCGACAGACTTGGAGCGCTATATTATCAGTATTATCAGTCTTCATGTTTTTGTGGGAGAGTTTTGCTCATGGCTAGTAAAAGCAGGGCAGAGGAAATGTGTATGTGTGTCTGTGAGAGTGTCTGTCTGTGTCTTTATGAAAGAGAAGGGGATGCTCTCCTCTAGAATAAAAGCTGCCCTTCTTTAAGGCTTTAGTTTTGATTCACACCTTTTTCAGTGGAGGCTCGGTGATAGCAGGCTAAGCACTGATTTGTTAAATGTAGGTGGATGCCGAGAGACAATGGTTGTACACGAAAGAAAGGAGAGAAATAGAGAGAGAGAAATAGTAGCCTACATTTTATTTTTGCACTCTGTGATCATTCACACTAACGTATAGGCTTCCTGAGATTTGACTTTGGTACAAAAAGAGTGCAGCGTTGCTGTTTATTGTAGGCTAATCAGTCTTTGTTTTGCCATTTGCTTTGCAGTTCATGTCCCCTCTCTGGTACTGTATGTCACAGGTTATTGTACATGTGCCTGGATTCATGCTTGATTACCTCTGTGTGTGTGTGTGTGTGCGCGTGTGAGTTGAGACACAGAGCACAGTGCAATGGCTGTCTACTGTAACGTCTGAATTTTTTGCTGTAAATAATGAAGTCCCCTTTTCTGTAATTTTTAATATATAGAGAAAACTATTCTAAGCTACGGAAATTTGGGATACATTTTTGTTAGGAAGGTTTTGTAAACCACCATAGAGGTCAATAATGACATCATGTCACCAAGGCTAGAACTCCACTTGAATAGAATTAGAGGACCCAATTTGAAGAGACAAAAGTACGCCTTTGTGGTCTTTACTATATAACTGATCTTTCTAATTCTCTTTCTTTTCCTTCCTCGTTTTTTTGACGCTTCTTTTAAATGTTACACAAAGATTAACAATTGTACAGACTTGTGTAAATACGACCAAATGGTTTCTCTTTATTCTGTTTTTGTATAGAGAGAGATTACCTGTGTTTAAGATTACAATAATAATTTAACGGGAAATTTCACAATACTTAAGCTATTGAGAATACAGACACAGTATGTGTGAATATAAGTGCTAAGATATATTCTTCTGTCTCTTTGTACAAAACAGTGTTGACAATAAATAAAAGGGAGAAATCTCACGTGGCGTTGGCATTGTTTTCTTCATCCTGTGGCCTATATCCTCAGCCATAAACAACTAAAGGAAGTTGAGGAAAGCTGTGTTTCCTTTATTCACTACATTATTTTTTGCACTAGTTTTGCCCTATATATAGGGCTGTTGTCGGAAACCTCATATCTCCAAAATGGTAACTTTACAGGGGAAGGAAAAAAACCTACTTTTGATGTAAGTCAATGGAACCAGACGTCTTTCCAAGTCATTTTAGGTCATTTCTTTTACTCCATTTTTCATGAAATTTACACACAATGTAAAGAACAACAGGCATGTTCCATTTATGTCAAAAACTGAAAACCGTCAAAAATGGAGATAAGGGGTTTTCTTCCGACAGCAGCAATATATGTGTGTGTGTGTGTGTATATATATATATATATATATATATATATATATATATATATATATATATGTATACATGTGAGTATTGTGTTGTATTGCGACATTATGTTCCTCTTTAAAGAGACACTTCCAAACAAGTCAAAGCAAAATAAGTGATAAAACATGACTTTCCGAAACTGGAGTTTGAAAAATTATCAAATGATACAGAGAAAATGGGACTCCTAACAACCATGTAAGACCTGGTAGACCACCAAAACTCCAATGGATCCATCTCCATTGGATAAATACTACTTATCCATGCAGCTTTCTTTCAAAAACTGCAATTAAGTCTCCTGAAAAGAACAGAAGCTGTTATAAAGGCAAATGGTGGGCACACTAAACATTGTGAAATTATATTTCTACTGACATTGAAATATTTTATTTAGTTGTTGAGTCTTGTAATTTTTTGTTAAATATGTTTTCTTTTTTTTCCGGAAATTAAATAATGAAAAGGTCTCTAGTTACTGATTTTTGCATAGTACAATTCCTAAGGTTCTATGCTAGTGAAAGTTTTTTTTTCCTAGAACTGTGCATCCAAACCAAGAAACATCAAAGAACCCCTATTTTTAAGTATTAAGATGTATAGATAGGATTGATGTCTATTTTTATGTAGGCTATACATAAAGTACTATAATAACCCCTTTTACTGTTCTGCCATGCTGTTTTAATAGCCACTGGGCTCATTTAAGATTGCTGTAAAAGGCAGTGTGCAGTACCAGGTGTATAGTATAGGTGTAATAAAGTGGCTGTGCTGTGTGTCTATTACGTATAACGTATGCAACCCTCATTTTCCCCGCATTAGTACACACGCTGAGAGCCGTGTGAGTGACAGCTGCTGTGGTTGCCATGGAGACGGCTGGTCCACTGTTGCAGCGACCACCACAAGCGGGCAGGTTACTTGATGTCGGAGGCTGATTTGGGGGAAATGAGAAAACACTTTT